CAGCTGGAGGTAAATATTTCAGGAGCAAAGAGGGAAGAGACAAGGTTTCTGACATGGGGACCATCAAACGCAGGAGTACAGGACAAAGAGAAGAGTGAGTTCTACCAATCAGGAAAGGTCATCTTTCCTCAAATGCCTCCTCACTGGGCTCCAGTTTCTTCACAGAACTGTGAGACTCAACTGAGAAAGAAGACGGTTTAAAAACCAAAAATTCATGAAATGTTAAGAGGCAGAATAAACATCTAAACGGTTATGAGTAATAATTTTGCTTCTATGGCTTTGTGAAAGAAAAGCCGGGCTGGGCTTACAAGCTATCTCACATCTAAGTGTAACAAGTGTCGTATTACTGATCTAAGTCCTACTGGGCTGACTCGCAAATCTAAGTTACTTAGTGTTGGTTTGCTGATTCTCTGTTCATGTTTTTTTTTTTATTTATTTTTATTTTTTTGCTAGCCAGCTGGATTTTCAGAGAGACATATTGGGCCTTGAAATGTTGGTTTGCTGCCTCCCTGCCTCTACTTTTGTGATAATGATGCTGCTAAAGCTGTTCCATGCCTATTGGCCGAATACCCCAAGCTTGTAATTAACCGGATAAAACCTCACACGCACGTCTTGGAGATGCTCAGGGCTTTGGAGCAGAAGCCCCTCTGAGCCCGCTGGTGTAATAAATCTGAGTACTCCAACCCTCCGAGTGGTGCTTGTTTCTTGGCTGGCCTGTCATTTCTGTAACAGCTTCTCCTCTTCTTCTCTGTCACCATTATCTTCTCTCTTCTTACGCAGAAAAGATGGGCCCATGGCTTCTGGGACGCCTTCTCCTCGTGTTGCTGCTGGGACTGTGGTGGGCAGTGCCTCCCCTTTGTGCTTTGCCTGAGGGTCTCACCAGGGCTCGATGGTTTGAAATTCAGCACATACAGCCGAGGCCTCTCCAGTGTAACAAGGCGATGAGTGTTGTCAATAGTTACACCCAGCACTGTAAGCCTGAAAACACCTTTCTGCACACCTCCTTCCAGGATGTGGCTGCTGCCTGTGATTTGCCAAACATCACCTGTAAGAACGGCCAGAACAATTGCCACCAGGATCCGAAGCCCGTTCCCCTGACTCAGTGCAGCCTCACTGCGGGGAGGTACCCTGCCTGCCGCTACCGAGAGGCTGCCCAGTACAAGTGCTACATTGTGGCCTGCGACCCCCCTCAGAAGGGCGACCCTCCCTATGCGTTGGTTCCTGTGCACTTAGATAAGGTTGTCTGAGGTTTCCATCACTTTCGTTCTCACTTGGCACAAATTCTCTTATGATCTTTTCTGATTTTTCTTTGCTTTTGCTGATTTTCCTGGCTCCCAGAGAAGGAAAAGGTAGGGCGTTGAAAGAATTAGAGTGATGATATCAGACAGTTTTCTGCTTTGGAGCTCAGTGTTTTGAAGGCAGACAGAAGGGAAGAGGGCAAAGAAGGGTCCAGGCCTCCGTATTTTCAGCCTTAGAACTTTGCTGCGTTACAGGAGAAAAGCAATTTTAATTACATGTGTACGTGCGGGATCCCTACAATTACATGAGACTCAAAAGACACAGGAAACCCGGAGGGGCTCAGGGTCCGTGTCTGCAGCGGCGTCCCGAGACCAGGCCTGGGGCCGGGAGGGTTGCCCTGGCTTAGAGACGCCACGTTTCCCAGGGAAAATGAGCTAAGTAGACAACCCAGTACATGTCTCCTTCCCACAGGGTGTGGGAAAGGCAATTGAGTGTCAGGTGTGAGGACACTGCATTTCTCAAATGTCATACTGACCAGACGATGTGAGGCCACTCCTTCCGCTTTTCTTCCTGCCTTAGTTGGTACTTTACTTAGTTCCACTGGGGAAAAGAACTGTACAGTCAAAAAGAATTTTATTGATAAATTCAATACTGTGAATATTTTTGCTTAAGTCGTCTTCTTAACTTGTGAATTTTTTAAAATGCCATACTGTCTAGACAGGGCCAATAGAAACAGAATGGTGCGCTCCCCTCCCCAGCACGAAGACTAAAATTACAATGATTCAGAGATTAGCATGACCCCCTCACAAGGATGACACACAAATTCCTGAAGCCTTTCATATTTTGTGAAGTAAGTCAGACAGAGAAAGACAAACATCACATGATATGATTTATATGTGGAATCCAATATATGACCCAAATGAACCTATTTACAAAACAGAAAGACACTCACAGAGATAAAAAAACAAATTGTGGCTATGGGGGGAAGGTAGGGAGGGAGGGATAAATTGAGAGTTTGGCATTGGCTGATGGAAAATACTATGCATAAAATAAATTTAAAAAATCAGGTCCTACTGTATAGCATGGGGAACTGTATTCAATATCTTGTAATAACCTATAATGAAAAAGAATCTCTCTCTCTCTTTCTGTATATATATATATATATATATATGGAATCACTATGGCAATCACTATGCTGCAATCACTGTGCTGTACACAGGAAACTAACACAACATTATAAATCAAAAAAATAAAAATTAAAAAAAAAAGGAATATTAGTCAATCAATCAATCAACACAACCAGAAGAAGTGATGTGCACGTCTGAGGCAAGCCTACAGGGGTGCTGGGAGGCAGAAGCAGGGCCAAAGAGCCGCAGGGGAAGGCAGAAGCAGATGCTCGTGAGGAGGGGAAATCCAGAGAGCCTGACACTTCGTGATGGACTTTATAAAGGCCTTCCCTTGCCCTGTCTCATGCACTCGTGTCATTTTTAAAGTGATTTATTACTTTTCAAAAATTAAACAATGTAAACCAATACAAACTAATATATGGTGCTCAAATGAATAAATACTGTGTTCCACATGCTTACTCTTAGATAAATACAAAAACACTGGAGTCCATTATATTCCTCCCTCCACTCCCATTCCTCTTAACTCTTCTTAAATGAAATCATAAATTTAGAGTGTCTCCAGCCCTATTTGGACACTTTTACTTCATAAACATTATACAGTGTTTCCATGTGCAATTTAAAAATAAATTTATCCAAATGCCATTCTATGGTAGAAATCATTCTGCACCTTGATTTTTTTGTTCACTCAACAGTGTTTTTAAGACACATTAGTTTTAAAATGTGTCTTTCTTATTCTTTTATTTTTTCAGATGTATTATATTTTTCTTTGTATTAATAAACCATCATTTATTTATCAGTCGTCTCTTGATGGATATTTGGGATGTTCTCAAATTTTCACTCCAACCAGCAGTGTTGCAACGAATGTCTGTGTACATTTCTCTGTGTGCACATGTGACAAAATTTTACCTCTAAGTGACTCCATGTCTATAGTAGGTACACCAAGATGTGGAATTTCCAAGTCATACATATTTTTAATTTTGCTGTCTTGTTATATTTTCATCATACTTGGCAATTTAAAGAAAGACACACAGCAGAAGAGTTGTAAGTTTCAGCTTTATACAAGGTGTCACTGAGGACTAGAGCCTGGGAGACAGCCACTCAGGTAGCTCTGAGGTAAGAGATAGCACACCATTGTTATGTAGCTTGTTCATAAGTAAATAAATGATGTAAAAACGCATAATCCAAATTCAGTCATACGGGAAAAAGTTTGATGTGTCCAAATTTAGAGACGTTTCATAAATAAGACCCGCCAAGAAGCCAAGCATGGTGAGGCTTGTATGTACTGAGGTCTTTCATTGCACTTTGCCTGCTTTTCTGAGGTAAGCATACAACGTATAAAGTGAACCTGTAGCCTGCTCTTATGACAACAGTTATTTGGTGCGTACCAGAGGCTGGGGGATTTTACAGACAGCAGCTGTGTAAAGAAACGTGTGGGGGAAAGAACTGATGGTGTTTTATATCTCCAAGTGTCTTGGCTGACTGGAGGAATTGCAGGAGTACATGCTCTGTGAGGGCTGAATCAGCCCAGGGCGCCAGAGCGGGGACTGGGAGCAGCCTTTCATTCACAGTTAGAGAGGAAGCTCAAAGTGCAAATACTGGGGAGGGGGCACTTGGAAAGAAAGAACCTGATGGGGTGATCATTTACTGTGGTAATTGAAGGACTCATCTAAGGTGTGCATGGTGGATGCATTCTGATGTGGGGAAGGGCTGGGCTGGGGGACTACCGGCTGCTGGAATTGAAGGGAGAATTTACCACACAGAGAGGCAGGAGAAGACCAGCCCAGCAGGGGCAGAAGACACTGTGATTCTGTGGGTACACACAGAGCTGCGGGGCCACAGGGGAGCTGGGATGCTGCGATGTGTTTACTTGTCCACTGAGAATGCAGAATCTGGAAGCGTGTTTGGTATGAGGAAGCTTCTGAAAATTAACAATATACTTGTTTGAAGAATCACTGGATATGATCATTTGTGTCTTTAAGCAGGAACCCATCTTCCCATGTTAGCATCTCAATTGTAAGATTCACCTGCCTGGGTTAGTCTCCTGGAACAGGCTAGTACTCCTTTCCTTGTGGGGAACAATAGTGCCCCACAGAACAGACACCTCTGACTTGTCTCCAGATGACCCTTCTTGGCTGTCCCTCACCATGTTTGGCCCAAGACTCAGCCTTTACCCTCCACTGTACTCCTTTCCATAGCACTTCCCAAGCGCCACCCGCCACACACACCGGCTCCCTGGCTGTGCAGTCCTGCTCCTGGACCAAGTGTCATCATGTATCAGTTTATTCTTCTGATGGAGGCACGCTGTGGTCCCGTGGCCCACAAGGTGCAGGGACCCAGAAGCCAGAGCTGGTGAATGTGCAGAATAGATGCAGCAAAACTGCAAGTGTGTGTCCAAAAAAGCTCCACTAAAGTGTTTTCTTAGCACTAGCACGAGGGAAAATGAGCTCTGGGTTCGGCAACAGGGGGGAGATGAATGTAAGAAAAATTCTGTCTTGAGGAAACAGATCTAGAAATTTAAAGTTTCCTTTTCTCCCCTCCTCCATCCTCACTGCTTGTAGGAGAGAGATCCCCATTGCCACAGAAATGCAGGGATAGCTGGCCGACCCCTCTAACCTGCAGGCTTTCTTCCTCTTACTGAAGCCCCCAGGGCTAAGCATTCCCTTTACCTAAAAACACAGTCACTTTCAACCTTTACAAATGTAGTACGCAAAGACAAGGACAGAACTGGTCACACTGGATGGAAGTAGGACTTTCCTCTAATTCTATAATTTTGTCCCAAGGCAGATGCAAGTGCAATCAGAGGGTCATATGAAATGATTACGTGATGACAGAAGTCGAGTCTAGTCTTTTCAGTGGATGTGAGGAAGGGTGGCTCAGAAGGGAGCTGAGTCACAGGCCAAGTCCACTGGGAACCTGTGAGAGCCCCCAGCGAGCTGAGGCAGAGCAAGCTGTGACTCCAGGGCCCACGGGGAAGGAAGGACACTGGGGAATATTCTCCCTGAATAGAATCTAGTCTCAGCCATGTCACTAAGTAGCAGTGACCATGAGCAGGTCACTTAACCTTTCTGAGATTCCGGTTGCTCCTCTATGAAAGTTGGGGAGGTTACACTAAGTCAGGGATGTCACTGGGTGGCACCTACTTTCTCAACTCCCCCCCCCGTGCCTTCAGGGAGGTACCGCTCCAGCACATCCTAGCGTAGACATTTTTCTCCAGCATGCTAGGCAGGCATTGCCCAGTGAGAGTCAGTACACAAGCTGAAATCTGCTTATCCTCCCTCCTTCTGATGATCCCTGAAGTTCCTGCTAAATGGAGGTTCCAACTTTCCAAGTAAGAGAGGACCATTTTTCGGTTTAGTAATAGCTCACTCAAAAAAACAAAAAATAAAAAAAGGAACATGGAAATTTAGGGTCATAATTTCACACACTCCACGTCTCCACCTGTGGCCCTAGCAGGGTTTTCTCAGGTTCACACTGTCCTTCCTTGTGCCAGAGATTTTT